GTCTCAACTTTTTGGCGCTCACAGCGGATGCAAAATCGAGACCACTTGATTTTAACTACGCATGCTCAGATTTGGGCGCTACGCCCGCGCGCACAAGAAATATCAAATGGAAATCGGCCTTCAGTCAAGTCGCAGCAGCTCATTGTTTTTATATTCCTAAAAACAGTCTCCTATGAATTTTTGTCTTTTTGAAAACATTTCTAAAATTACTCTTGTTTATCAAATTCCTGCTGATGTCATTGTACAACTGAAAACAGCTCAAAACCTGAATCTGTTATATCAAAAACTACCGCAGAATACGGTGTTGAACTATCAGAGAATGCAGTTATCGTGCTTGCTTTAGAGTAGAAAGAGGGTAATGATATAAGTGTGGTAATGTAATCTAATCAAGCCGTATTGCAAAGAGACTTGTCGTTTCAAATTAAAGCTATAACTCTTTGAAATGAATGAAGACCATCTTGCCAGATATACTTTTGCCTTTGTGATGGTTTTATTAGCAAAACAGTTTGACATTATAGAAACCTCTCATTGATGCGCGCAGAGACAATTAGATAGATATTCTTAACTCCGCTGCAACGCAAGCAGTACCGAAATTGTAAAAAGTCATCAGTTGCTTCTCAAGAGTTCCCTGATGCTTAGATTCACTGGCGGTATTCACCGGGATTTCAATGCTGTGCTGTTGTTGATTGTTGCGAAGCTGTGCACGACCATTCCCAAGAGCAGTTCTGTTAAAGAGAGTGATAATAGATGCAAGCTGGGAGCTCCAATCCAATACTGTTTTCTCTGAATAAAGCGGTAAACGGAGCCCGCTCGTTACCCTCAAGATCATCTCTTAAGACAGAAATTTTTTTCAACTTTTGTTCCAGAGTTGTTGTAGGATATTCAGTGCACAGTTGGATATCTGCACACACGAAGCAAATCAATTCTGACTTTTGCAAAATTTTGCCATGGAACGGAGTTGTTGTTCGGAGTTCACTGTGGGCTTGCTCAGCCAGTGTCTCAGATAACAATTACTTTGTGTGTCGCACCAACGTTTGTAGTGCCTTACGTCAATCAGTCTGAAAAGAAAAATTCGATCTACAAGTTTCGTTGTTGTGCACTATCTGAATCGCAAGATGAGGTAAGCATCTTTTTTATGAAGAATTATTTTCTAACATCGTTCATGAATCGTAGCAACAAACATCAAGGGTTGTGGCTGGCGATATGTTCGCCAAATGTGCAGCTCCACTGTTACTTAGGTGCTTGAATAAGTTGGTTAACCATTCAAATGTTCTCGTATTAAGCCATGAGAATCTTGCACCAGTTTATTCTAGTGCTTTAATAAAAATACGAAGAATTACGAGAGAAAGTTTAGGGCAAATGGTTAGTTTGTAGTTTGATGTCTCAATTGCCCAACGATGCGATTTGCCTGGAGAAACTTCCATGGAATTAATTAGAAAAAGGTTTTGATGCCGTTAACGTAGGAAACGAATTGAAACTAAATTTTTGCCCTTTTTGGAAGGGAGTTTGAAATATCTATGGGTAAATCCAGCAGCTATCTTGTGATATAGACGTAATAGCTTGTGATTTTGTCCGAGGTCGAAAACGTTATTCCCTCTAAAGCTAGTCTAATTTCGTTAGACAGTAAGTAAAAGGCTTTTTTGATGAGTAAGATTTAAAGGAATTCCTTTTGGAGAATTCTAATGGATCTTTCTAAATTTCATCCTCTTAAATATTAATTTTAATGATAACAAGATCAATCAGAAGCCACGAACTTTTGAAACTCTTGATTCAGAATTACAAGCTTTCAAATGGCAATTGTTAAGCCGAATTGTGAATGAAGCATTCTTTTTCGTGATCTTACTTTATGCCTTACGTAAAGAGTTTTTATTTTAAATAACTTTTGTCTGACTTCCCTGTTACTTAACGATGTGGACGAAATACTGCAGGAGATGAAGAATGCAAGGAAAAGCTATACAAATGGTCTCAGTATAGCAATAGTTTGGTCATGGAGCCTTTACTGGAACTTTAGCTATTTTTAGTGGCAAAGAGTAACTTCAGAAAGCTCAAAGAAATCTTTCATCCTTTGCGATTTCATAATATATGATCTGGTTTGCTTTTCTATCTTTAGTTTTTAATTCCTTGTAATTGGAGCAATTCAAGAGTAATCATTGCTCATAGCTTTGCACCATCATGGTTGCGACTTGCATATTTGATTTAATAACCATTTAGGCAATTAGGCAATACAGATTTGGAAAATATTTGAAATCAGCTCAGTTTAAGTGGACTGACGTGCAAAATATGGCTTAAAAACGTGTCAGATTTTCATATTATTAATTTTAAAACCAATTCCAAACAATGGATCTTCTTTAATGGCTTTGCAAATCTTAAGCCTCTGTTTGTATTACATTAAGCACGAAAGACAAGATTAACATGCTTCATCAATATTGGAAAGACAATATTAGCAAGTAAAGATTGAACGATAATTATTTGGCTACAATATTTGCTCAGAGCAATTCTTGCCTTTTACTATAAGTTGGCGCTGGATAAAATACATATTTTATTTGCTGAAAATTTTATTCTAAATTATATTCAAGTTGCTAAATTATGTTATGTAATGCTAAATTATCTGTTACTTAGCCATGTCATATTATATTATATTATATTATATTTTATTATATTATATTATATTATATTATATTATTATATTTATATTATATATATTTTATATTATATATTTATATATAATGCATTATATTATATTTATGATTATATTATATTTAATTTATATTATATTATATTAATATTTATGTATAAATATTATATTATATTATATATATATATATTAATTATAATATTATATTTATTTATATATATATTATATTATATATATTATCATTTATATTATATTATATTATATTATATTATATTTTATCATATTATATTTTATCATATTATATTTTATTTTATTTTATTATATTTTATCATTAGAGTTATTTTGTTACATTAAAAGTAATTACATTTTAAACTTTTTTAATTTTTGCTTTGATATATCATATTTTGCATGCGTTATACAATTTAATCAAACCATTTTATAATTTGCTTTTTTTCTTTCTATTTGTAATTTATTCAATTTAACTCTGCCTATGAAATTAATTCTACAAAAATGCAATAGTTTTAAGCTAATCATTATGCTTTAATAAATTTCATCACTAGGTCTTTTTCTTGTGGAACAGCTATTGATTTATCATAATGCCTTGTTCGTTGAAAGATATATGTTGGCGAGCGCTATATAAAGTTGAATCATATTTATACGCTATGTGTATAGTACAAGACGATTTTATCTTGCTACTCATTCCCAGTGCAATGATCAAGCAACTCTTGGTGTTTTGGAATAATAGGTTGTATAACAGGCTAGATTTGTTTAGTTTTTTTTGGAAGATTGCGAAGCATTGTGGTACAAAAAAGCGTGGAAAAGCCGAGGAAAGCCGAGGAAAGCCGATGAAAGCCGAAGAAAGCCGGGGGAAGCTCGGGGGAAGCTCGTGGGAAGCTCGGGGGAAGCTTGGGGGAAGCTGGGGAAAGGCAGAGGAAGCTTATTTTTAGTAAAAAATGTATTGAGACTTCCTAGTTGCAGCGAAAACCCTAACCCTAACCCTAACCCTAACCCTAACCCTAACCCTAACCCTTGAAGTTCAAGGATAGCCTGTTCGAGTCTGTTGTAAAGATGAAATGTAAAAGAAAAATTTTTTTCTAAATAAAATATTCTGAATTTTGTAAGAGATCGCATACTTTGAGCGTGATTAAAGCGTACGGAGGTTGAAATATATAATGACGCAGCAACCAGTGAAGCAGCGGGCTTGTAGCCTACCTTAACATAATTTTTGATTGACTGCAAATTAGATATGGCTGTTAGTCATCACAATCCACGCCTCTTTGTATTCTTTCTGAATTGAGCATCAGATTTTATTTACGGTGACACGAGTGTAAAAATAAAGGTAAAAACCAGATAACAGTTAGAAAGCCACATTTCTTTAATGAAATTCTCCCAGTAAAATTAGCAATTGACATTCGGCCAGGTCACGGTGATCTTAAAAACGCCGATAGGGACCTCGTGAGGGACGAATGAATAGGGACCGCCGCTCTATACTGTTTTATTACTCACAGTACGGAGGGAGTATTTTAAGAAAATTTTATCACGCGATATAAATTAAAGATTTTGTTAGAAAACATTGGAAAACACGCATATAGTAGCTTATTGTTTTGTAACAATAAAACTGAAAACAAATGGACTTGGGGTCAATCAACTTTATATTTTCTTTGGCTTGCTTTGCTTCCATGTCAAATACAATGCTTTTTATTTGAGTTGTCTGTAAGTTTTTCTAAAGCCTTTAAAAGTAGCACGCAAATAGGTTATTAAAGGACTTACAGATACCAAATAAGCGATGGAATGGGAAGGTATCATATTAGATTTGTAGATGCGAGTGGTCTTTGCTTCGACATAAAAACACATGTTACTGAGTTCCCAGTTTTAAGGCGATGTGCCACTACTCCCTCGTCGGAGCACTTGTATTCCAATAGCAAAGGTGTCACTCTCTATGGTAAAGGGATCAAAACCCTAAAGCTATTTATAACAGTTTTGAGGTATGATACTTTTGGGGAGTTGTTCCACATCCTGTTACATACCTACACTCTTTTATTTTGTAAAAAGTTCGCTATAAGAAACGAGTACTGAGCAATCAGAAAAAATTAAGAAACTCGAGTACTCGATGCAAAGTTTTAGGAAAAGTTTAGTTTTGTTGAAATCCAAAACTCAGAAAAATTCATATAAAGTTATCAAATTGATTTTATGATTAAATGATAAATGATAAAAATTCAGTCTCAGAGAATAGAATAGAAAAGGTGAGGATGATTAAATTTCGTCATCATTTGTAGAAATACATACCATACAGATAATATGTTATTAACCAGCAAGTCTTGAGCAATTCTGAGCTCAATATAATAATTGCTTGTATTTTTTTCAGCCTCAAGTTCCTCGTTATTGTTTGTTTCTCGCTACTTCCTCAGTCCCTTGTTATTTCACAAGGTAGGCAACATGTTTTTTCTCTTTAGGGAGAAATATATCAGGCACCATGAGGCAAAACTTAAGTAGAATGCTTTTAAAGCTAACATTTTTTAGAATCTTTGTCTAGTATTTCCTATCTTCCTAACCAGTAATACTCAATTTGTCCATTTTGCAAATGATTTGAACCACCCAACTTTAATGAAATGATTTTTTACTCCATTAGCATAGAATAGCATAAAGTAGGGTTGACTCAAATATTTGGGAAGATTAGTTTTGATCAAGTTGACGAAATCTTGCAAGTCTTTCGATCTGAGTTAGTTGCGAATTCCGATCCTGCTGATTAAGCTTAAATCCATGATTTAATAAATTATATTATCTAAATCAAGTTATCATTTTCTTTCATTTAAGATCTTATCATTTTCTGAATTTTATTTTTAGGACTGTCCTTCTGCATGCATAGTGGGAAATCATACATCTCAGGGACTGTGTGGAGAATCAGAAATCACGGAATTTGCAGGCAGTGCAAATGCTTCAAGGTAATTAGGTATTCTTGACGTAATAAGGCAACCAAAAGTTAATCTGTACGTTTCTATGGCTAAGGATACAAGTTGAAAAAAATAAATTAGAAAAGAGCAGATTATGAAATTTCCGTACCAGAGGCAAAGATACAAGGCTTGGTAATTGCATGCATACTGGAATCATAATGATGCAGATCTCCTTTCCCTCCAATTCAGCAACAAATCAATGGTAGCATTTTGGTAATCTGAATTTCGACGATTCCTGAAACTAAAGATAACAAAATTACCGACTTGATTCCAAAATTCACCTTAGCTTGCTTTCGATTCTACTTTCATTACTATTCGATGTTACCTAAGATTCAAGGAGGAAAGAAAAGGCTCCTCCGCTTCTCCGCTTCTCCGCTTATCTCTTCTATACCTAAAAAAATGTTTTGATTCTTTCAACAAAACCATTTCAGCAAAGCACGTGTCATTATTATCAAGACGAACATAATTATTGATATCCACAACAGAACCCAGACCCATATGCATGCATACTAGAATTTTTAATAGCTGCTGCCATTTCTACTTTGTCGAGAACCAGAGGATGTTAATTCAGTAGGCAATACTTATTGATGATAAAAATTATGTTACTTCTGAAAGTTGCTATTCGATTGTTAATTCAATAATTGCTTCTTTTTTCTAAGGCAAATATTGTCCGATGCCTGCCGACATGCAATCGAAACGGTAAGACAAAATCGATTTCACAGTAGATTTTAGATAAAATTTTCATAAACTCAGCTTCCTAGCGCATTCTTACTCATAGAATAGTTAATGATGGTAATCCACGTGAATGAACTGCTTCATTATATCAATGTAAACATCCCAGCAAAAACAGAGCCTGCGAATTCAACAACACCCCACCCTTCTTACTTTGATTAAGCATGCTGGATTTAAGGATCTATTCTTGCCTTACAAATCATACAGGGTTCATCTAAAAGGGTATTGTCACCTGAACCATATATTTCACGAGATATTCCCCTATTGTCAGGAGTTATAAACAAACTGACTCTTTAGAAAGTATGTACTTCTTTGCGTTTTTTTACAAATACAATGATGCCAATATTTGTAGAAGAAACCGCGGCTTCTATTTTTCCCGTGATAGTATTTTTGCGATATCAATTAAAGTGTGGCTTCTACCTAAGCACGGCTCCTATTGCTTCTAAAGCAACATATTGTTCTTTTACAAATTCGAATCATAATCAAATGCTGTGTTCAAGTTTTAATACAGTTACAGCCTAATAAGTTTCGTCCTCATTTATCAGGCTCGTGACGAGCGACATCGGGGCGAGGGGGTACCTTAGGCAAGTGCATCTTGACCTTGGGTACATGTTACTAATCTTATTAATGTCCTCTTTCGAACTTTAGAAATAGTGTAAGTTGTTTCCTGACTTAAGTCCGTTACATTATGTAAGAGATCCACAATTACTAGCGCGAAACGTCGTAGCCTTTTGGATATGCCAGAATATACAAACTGCCTGTTTTGAGCAGTGAATAGAATTTTAAATTTTTTATTTTGCTTTAGTGCTACAATATGAAAAATTTAATTGTTTTATTGTGATCATCATGATCAAACTTGTAATTATTATTATAATTAGATTAATGACTTAAGTTATCAGTTAAATAGTTCACTCATCGCATGATACCTTAAATATCTTTGGACTTCAATGCTCTTTCAGCTCGAATTCCCTTAAATCCGTTGCTATCTGATGACCTTTCAAAGTCGATAATCAATAAAGCTGTAACTGGAGTACAATGCATCATGGATGGCAAAACACACCGAAATGGAGAGAGCTGGACAGAGAATGGGGCCCACGCCAAAGGACTACAAGCCAACCAATGCATGCAATGTAACTGCAAGGTAGGCATGTTATTTGTGATTTGTCTTCCTTTTCTTTACTTCGCAGTTTTCAAAGGTTTCTTTTCCTTCATGTACATCTCCAATGTTTTTAAAGACTGTTCACATCAAGGTTGTAAGCAGAATATTTGAATGTGAGAAGAAGTCTGTTCCTTCTTGACTGAAACATTTTCAATCATCATAATGCATATTATGACTTGAATGAACGAATGAACGAATGAACGAATGAACGAATGAACGGATGAACGAATGAACGAATGAATCAATGAATCAATGAATTAATGAATTAATTAATGAACGAATGAACGAATGAACGGATGAACGAATGAACGGATGAACGAATGAACGGATGAACGAATGAACGGATGAACGAATGAACGAATGAATCAATGAATCAATGAATTAATGAATTAATTAATGAACGAATGAACGGATGAACGAATGAACGGATGAACGAATGAACGAATGAATCAATGAATCAATGAATTAATGAATTAATTAATGAACGAATGAACGGATGAACGAATGAACGGATGAACGAATGAACGAATGAATCAATGAATCAATGAATTAATGAATTAATTAATGAACGAATGAAGGAATGAACGGATGAACGAATGAACGGATGAACGAATGAACGAATGAATCAATGAATTAATGAATTAATTAATGAATAAATGAATGAATGAATGAATGAATGAATGAATGAATGAATGAATGAATGAATGAATGAACGAATGAACGAATGAACAAATGAATGAATGAATGAATGAATGAATTAATGAATTGATTAATGAACTAACGAATAAATGAATGAATGAATAAATAAATAAATGAATGAATGAATCAATGAATTAATGAATTAATTAATGAACGAACGAATGAATGAATGAATGAATGAATGAATGAATGAATAAATGAATGAATGAATGAATGAATGAATGAATGAATGAATGAATGAATGAATGAATGAATGAATGAATGAATGAATGAATGAATAAATAAATGAATGAATCAATGAATCAATGAGCAAATGTGTAAAGATATCAACAAATAGACAGATGAATGAAGTTTTATCATTGCTCATATTTCAGATAAAGGTTATCACTTGTGCTATACGAAATTGTCCTGTTGTCCACTGTCGAAATCCGGTACAAGAAGATGGAACATGTTGTAAAACATGTCAAGGTAATTGAATTGTTATTAAGAATCAGTTAAAATGGTTTTCTAGCAACGGCAGGTTACGAAAATGCTTCTGTTGCCAATTCACAAAGATGCACAAAAAGTAGAAACAATTTGCTGAATATCCTGTGCCTGAGATTTTGCTTTGAAAAGCTGAAACTCCTTTTAATTTATTTCATACGAGGTAGTTTTTCTTTATTTCAGAAAGATCCGGAAGGCCACCAAGAGAGTCGTCAAACAGAGGTAAGTCCAGAAGTAATCCACTAGTCAGGCAGTACCCATTGAATTTTGTTTTCAATCACTTCCCTGTTTGCTTATCATCCTGTTTTATTTGCAATTGAAAACTGTATTACTTATAGTAAAGGCCTGTAGAATGTACGATGCTTTTAAGTAAGAATTCAAGGCTCTAAAATTGCTTTCACCTTGACACTTTTCTCCAGGGAAAAACCTAATCCAGCTGGATTCAGGTTTTTTAAAATCAAAGTTGATTTAATTCTGATTGTATGGTGATTTGGGATATTTATCCTTACAGGAAGCTTTTTCAATTAATTCCTTGTTAAACTTCTATAATTTCAAAGACTTCAAAATTGTGAAAGTAGAAAGTATTACATGTCTCCGATTCCGAGTTGAAAATTCTGCATCTTGTTAAATTTGTTACCATTCTTCTGATAAGAATAAGGTTGCAGCTATTTAGGAATGGGTAGGGTGATTTTGGGGAGTTTGTCAAAAAGATATTTAAAGTCTATTTTGGTAGTAATTGCTGACCTAAGAAACTTATAAATAATAAAAACTCGATGTAGCAATTTGCTATACTGCTAAGACCTTTCATAGAAGATTGCAGTACTTTCATGGAAGATTGATAAAAAGGTATTAAGCTAATAAACAGCCCCAATTTCAAATTTCAGTCCTTTTGATATGCTTGTATCACGTCCAAAAGGTAGTTAACTGGAATTGTTGTCTTTAATGTCAGCGGTAACTGAATATATGCGCTACCAGTGGATTATCAAAATTCCTGGATTCAAAATAAATATGTTTCGCTTCTTCGTCAATTCGCAATAACCTACACGATTATAAAATGAAACGTGATAAATTTTTTTGATTGGGCACGGAAGGACTCGTTCCTAGAACGTTTTCAATATGCTACGAGCGAACACTTCAAAGAAGCTTCAAACTATTTCAGGCTGTTTGAGTATCGAGAGGTACTTCCAGAATGATGAATCATGGCAGCTTTATCTGCCGTCTCCCAATGTATTTGCCACATGCGTGGATTGCAGTTGCAGGGTAAGCAAAGTTGTATAATTCCCTTGAAAGATGCTTTGAATATTTTATTTCGTCAACATCAAACATGTCACTTTCCTACAATAATGTCAGAAATTCTTGTATTGGGCAGTAGAACATTAGAACATCAGTTGGCACTTTTGTTATTGCTAAAAGATGAAGTAAACACTTGTCAAACAAAATCTGCGTTGTTTGACACACTGTTTTAATGCACTTTTTATGATTTGCCCTCGATACCCATTTCATCCACAAATATGGGCTGCATAACTTGTGCACACGCAGAAGTGCCTCACATTACCAACCCTGTTTTATATGATTCAAGCTAGAAGGGATATTTCTAGTTCATTACACTTTTCTTGCATTTCATCTTTTTCTTCAAAATGTTTTCCCTGCCAGTTTTCTTTACTCACAAATCCCTTTCTAATTAATAGGCTTCTTTTTGAAGAAGAAATTTGAGCCTGTATACATAACTTTGCGAGGTGCATTCCTCAAATTTGAATCTGCTAAACGTGTCTTCTTAAGGTTTGTTTGAACACTGTTTAGGTTTGTTAATGTGAGCCTAAATTGTCGTATATCTGCCTTCAGGCCATCTGGCTTTCTATCTTGTTGTATATCTAGTTTTATGTTATCACTTTTAGAACGGAAGGGAGCATTGTCGCAAACATTCTTGCCCACCAGCAACGTGTTCCAAGCCAATAAAAAGACCAGGAAATTGCTGTTCTCTTTGTCCAGGTAAGATGATCGTTTTCACACTTTACATTTCTGATAACCACAGACGCAAGGGTAATTTTGATAAATGCAAAGTTTGAATGAAAGTTCGACGAAAATCTATCAGACAAATTTCCTTCTCATAGCCCTTCAAGAAAAGAATTATACATCTAATGAAAGCAATTTTACATCTAAATTTCAACCTTTAACATAGATTTATTTATATTTTTATTTTACTAAAGACACTCATTTCTCTTAATTTCCATCGTCTTGCTAACACCCGAGATTGGCTATATATCTTGAACACCGTTGGGAAAGTTTTGCACTTATTATCAATTGTTTCTGATGAAATCAGAACAGCTCTTAAACTATCTCATAACTCTTCTTTGGATCATCGAGCGTTTGCAATATTAGATGGAATAAAATTTGTCCAAAAGTCGGAATGATAAAAAATTTGTATAGTCTTTTGGAACATTTATGTAAGTGAATGTTAAGAGATTTGAAAGTTTTGTTCTTTGATTAAAATTGTATTCAAGGCATCCTATAATAAACAGCTTTAGATATATTTAAGCAAGTTTGATCCATCTCTTGTTCCTTTGTCTTAGGCCAGCGCCCGTTATCAAAAGCAAGGAAAGAAAATCACCGAAAAACATCATCCACCGACAGTGGAATATTTGGGTTTTTCTTAAGAAGGGACGATAGCAAGAGCAAAAAAAATCCAAAAACAGACAGAAAAACGAAAGAAAACGTGGAAGCAACCGTGTCTACAATGCGCAAAGCTCCAATTGAAAGTAAAGGTGATCTAATGCTAAAGAATATCTCTGAAAACTAAGATTTTTGTTTATGCATTCGATTCGAGACAAGCACTTGCTTGTTACAACAACGAAAAAAAACAGCCTATGTTAACCTTCATAGCTATATGTTAACTATGTTCAGCTTAAGCTTGTGCTTTCACTTTCGAGTCAGTGTAGACGGCGGGCCAGTTTTAAGCAAAGACTAAGGAAGATTTCTTTGAAAGACTAAGAGATTTAGGAAATGCTGCTTTATTTCTAGCACCCTCTATTCCACGATACAACAATACAAAACATCTTGACGCTTTAGAATAATAGACTGATGTTTTATTTGGGTAACATTTTCGACTTCAAATTCTGCTAAAAACTTTCCTTTGCGTACCTCCAAAGATACCCTTGGTGTCAGATACTCCAGGCCTAAGTTATGATATTCAGCAAAATGCTTGCATCTTAACTATATGTTCAAGAATAACTAACGATTCCTACAAAAGATTCAAATTTGTTGCTGGAAATGTAACGCAGTTTTGTCATACTTTTCACTGCTGGTTCTGAATAAGTGAAAATGTTTGTCGCCATTATTAATTTTTCGTGAAAAGGGGGTTGGAGATGCGCAAAGGATCTGTGTGAGTAGTGTTCAAAAATTTCTTCAAGTTTAGAGCTAAAGCAAAACTGCTAATTTTCTTTCAAGATAAACAAACACCCTTTGTTTTACTGAAATTCATTAAAAAAACTATGAACAATGTCCTTACTTAATAGAAATGTGTTAAAATCTTTTCGAATTATTTTCATGGTAAATTTTATTTTTTATAGATGTTGGCTGCAGTTTTGGAGGGAGCTTGTCGTACAAGCATGATCAATTGTTTTATCCCGTCCTGAACAAGAAGACGCAAAAATGCACCAAATGTGTCTGCATGGTAAAATCTTACAAAGCTTTTGCGTAAAATCTTGCATAAAGTCTGCATTGTCAAGCTATACTTAAATGTCGTATTTTCTACCTAGGGCCTAAAATGCCTTTAGAAATGGGCTTTCAAATGTTGTTTCTTTAAGCTGATAGTTTTTTCAAACATTTTACAGAATTCTGTTGTGAACTGTGCAAGAATACGATGCCCCTCCAGATATCCATGCAAAAACCCGATTTCTAAAGAAGGCTTCTGTTGCAAATTCTGTCGAGGTTTGTCCTTTCTCAGCCCAGTAGTAGCTACAATGATTTTAAAAAGGTACTTTTGCATTTTAGGATTACATTTTTACTAGGAAAAAGTATTTTTATGTGCACATCAATTGCATTTGTTTTCTATATACGTATATAGCTGACAGAAGATGTTTACCTATTGGATTAGTTACAAATCGTTTGGTCTACTACGTAAACAGAAGCCCTGAATGAAAACATCTGAACGTTGTTAAATGATATTCGTTTGCCATGATTGAGGCGATTTAGGTGGATATGTGAAGAAATGAAATAAACTCCATCTTGAACAGCAACAAGAAGCATATGTAAGCATTAGCATAAGAATACAACAAAACACAAGGAGACTACGAAATCACGATCAAAATAAAGAGAGTTTAAATAATGCCAAGACACCTCTGTTATCGTGAAAAAATATCGAATCCCCTCCCTTATGTGTATGTTGAAATTAATTTAAAGTGAGATTCTTCATGTCTAACAATTTGATGTTGTAATTTTTAATGAAAGGGATGAGTGAGAAACAGGCAAGGAGCCTCGAGGCCGTGCAAATGTATCAGAATCGAGGATGCAGCAAAGCAAAGCGCACCCACTTGCAAGTTTATCGTTACAATGATGTCACAAGAAGTGCTGCACAACTTTCAGCGAAGTATTTATTTGACAAAACTCATCAAATGAACAACAAAAAATCAGAAATACACACTTTGCAACTAATTGACATGAGTATAAACATCACAAGGCACTACCTAGACAGTGATGACGTCATCCGAAACTCCCTCAACAAAAACTGGAATTATCTGGGTGCGATTAAGGAAAGTGAGTATCCAAATATAATTATTGTACCACACAGTTACTTGCTTGTTGTTTGGGCTCGTAAATTTTTATTGGTCTGTCGGACCCTTGTCAATGAGCAAACAACTTCTAGATATAGAATATGGCTAGGAATAAGGCCAGATTCTAGTCAACATTTTTTCAATTCATGCATTTTACCGAGCCCTTAGATGACACAAAATAAAATAATATTGGACTTATCAATCTCAACCTGCAAGCAAAAGCAAATTAATTAGATAATGGGGTAGAATTGATTCTTCTAGAAAATTAGATGCCTATGACTTGTCTAGTTAAATAAGAAAATTCAAGAAAGAACTCCTTTTAACTTCTTAGGTTTTCTATTTCATGTCATCTCGTGTTATGTGTTTCTAGAAAGTAACTCTTAAGCATCTGGTATCTAAGTAACCTTTGATAAACATTAAGCCCTAGAATCTACAAAAAGCTTACGAATCTGAGTACTTATTTGAAACCTGGATTCTTACGAAACGGCATGCAAACTGTTACACATAGCATTAATTAAGAGTTTCTTTCTATCATTAAACGTAATAAACATAAATCAATCGTATCTCGACCCTGATTGCCAAAGACTTGGCAGAGCGAAAAGAAAATGGACACTGAAAAATGATGTGCCTCGTGTTTATCTTATCATTTTTCTAATTTGCTGTTTTCTTTTCCATCATATGTTGGTTTGGTATCCAGGGTATCCTTTGATTACAGCATTTTTGCTTTATTGAAAGCAGTCATATTGATGTAACTTAATGTCGCATTACCTCAACAGAAATGTTCACACGACTGCTTCGTCTTGAACGTGATCTGAAGAGGTGCAAAGACACCCTTCGATGCATCAAGAAGCTTACAAATCTGGTCGACCAACTGAAAACTAAAGCTGCCAGAAGGCGACGTTGTAGGTCGAGCGCAGTGGTACGGTCACTCGAACGCTTACAAAAATAACTATCATTGTTTGCACCGGTCACATTGTGACTCTAAATATTCGTTTAGTGGTATTGTTGAATTAATCATGGTCGTATTTATGTGATCTGGTAACATGTGGTCCTAGAAGAAAAAAAGATTTTAGAGATACCAAAGAGATCATCTAGTAGGGCCAATGACGCAGCATACTTGCCGGGATTTTGAGTAGTGCAGCCTTCCAAATAAAGCTCCATATCCCAGACAATGCCCTGACTCTGCCAATTTGATCCTACAGGACAGAGATTCCCGTTCAATCTAACTCTGCATCAGAGAAGCGGTAGTCTTACGAAATGAAGACTCGCCCAGAAAGGAAAAAGGGTTGCTAAAGATAAAAATTGCTTTTAGAAATCCAACAAACAGTCCTTTAAATCAACTTGAATATCTCGAGAGGTAGTCCGGGGGTAAAGTTTGGATTCCCCACTCATATTTGGCTTTACCTATCACTTAGCAACCAGAAAATTTTTGATATATTTGAAAAAACTGCATATTTTTCATAGTTATGCCAAAGTTTTTCATAGTCAACAGTTTTAAAGCAAAGCTGTGCTTTTCCCATTTTTGCACAAGATATCACAGTCAAGCAAAAAACCACGACCTAACTGTTGTCATTATTGTCAACGGCGACAAAATAGCTAGGAATGTCATACACATTGCGCAGAATATGGCTGTAGAAAATTCTTTGGAGTAAATCGTTATTTTGAAGAACACAATGAAGATGCAGATCAGCTTTGTTATAGTGGTGTGTTGCCCTTGGCTATCAGCAGTATGTCAGCTTCAAGTTGAGTAATGTGAAGGTTTTTTTCCAAAAATCCTTTTACCATCATATTGTACATATAAAGCATTTGATATTATTCGAATGTAGAATACACACAGGTCTGACTTGTGTTATTCATCTAATAAATCATAGAAGATGAGTTTGTTTTTATTAAGGCTGTCAAATTTCTAGCTGGGTGTCCTTTGCAAATCCTGCTTGTTATTGTCAAAAATGTAAAACCAGCTTGCTCCGTTGGCTAATTAAGGAGTAGGATGACTAGCTGTATGACAATCCCTTAGGAGTACATTGCAAGTGAAGGTTTTTATCATATATGGGCACCAAATCGGCAAATTATTTAAATTGCAAGATCCAAACTCAGGCAGTTGCCTTGCTGAAGCCATGTTTTTGAGCCCTGTTTGATCATAGTAAACCCGCAAAATTAGATTTTCTTAAAATATTTTTAAAACATGATAAACATACGATTTTATTAATGACGAATCATGCTTTATATGCAAAACAACATAGCTTAATATTTACATAGCTCCAAAGCTATGAAAGGCAATGTAGATGTTCCAAAGTGCTACAAAAAATATCTATTCAGTAAAAAACATAAATATAGACTTAAATGCGTTTTGACAAAAGCCTTAAAACATAAATACATAAATAATTTTGAGATAAAGCTCTGCATTTGTTCAGTTCTCTGATTCTTGATGATCTCATATGTCTTACAACAGAATGAATGGCAGTTTAATGAATGCCATCATGAAACTCTTTATATTGAACCCGTTATGGGTATAATTCCTGGCAGTTGATTAAGACCCATCGCATTTGAACTGTCAAAAATCAGCAAATGAATGTACTTACCATTCTTGCATCTGGCATACTTCTACGGAATGTGCTTACCTCTTTTCGACAAATAGTGATGATACTGAGGCTAAATGCTTGATATCATTGACAATAGCGTAACGGAGCCCGGGCCCCTTAGGAATTCTTCAGGTAGGGACCCCCTAGTTATAAGAGTGAGATATCCTGCAAGCTAAGGGCCCTGTACTTGTTTATCACATGATCAAATCAAGATTACCAGCATTAAATAAAATTCTGCCAGGCCCCTTAAAGTTGGGAGCCCCTAGTTTTTGAACTAAAAGTAACTTCAGTCCATTACGCCGTTGATTATTGCCTACTTAACTCTGCCCTGGCACCACCTATTTCGACAGTCCAATTTCCATTGGGAAGCTTCATTTACATATACGAACAAAGATCAACAAATTTAGTGAACAATGCTAAACAATAGAAGCTTTACTAGGTTTAGGTTTGACACCTGTCTATTAATTTAAATAATTAATTTGTAGATTATGTCGTCATCTTCTTTAAGAAACGTGCTGAGGATCAGCAATGGAAACTAGAAAGTGCAATATGTCAAGGCATCAGCATTTGACATATAATCTTAAGAATCCAAACTTGATTATATCAAAGTTAAGTCTATTTGACAAATTGGTAGAGAAAGAGATGTAGAATTGGGGTCGAGGATCATTTAAAAGAAATTACCTTAGCTACAATTTTTATCATTGTTATTGTTATCACTCATAAAAATTTCTCTTCTGTTGGCACTACAAATTTATTCATCTATAGCTAAAAAGCTAATTAGCTCCAACAATCTATATTTGCAATTTTCAAGCTTACAGATACGCTAAAAACCCACAAAATGGGTGGCATTTGGCATCGTTTAGTTTTGAAAAGTCGTCCGAAAAAAATTTTATCATAAAAAGCCATCTTCTTCTAACTGTGTAACAATGGCATAAATATCAGGATGGCATGCAACGATTGTTGTATCATCAGCGGTATGTGAGGTTAACCAAAAGAAAATATTATTGACAAGACATTAAACAATAAAGGCCCTAGTAACGACCTTTGGGGTACTCCAATTTTTCTTTCTTTCCATTAGCTAAAAGAGTTGTTGATCTTTACTCTCTGTTGTCTCTTAGAAAGATAGCTTCTCATAAGCTGATGGGAATCCAAGTTCAGTGCATAAGCACTCACCTTTCTATTAAAAAACAATATCTTACCCGATTACAAACCTTTGAGGGGCCCATGAACACTGCCCCTACAAGTCCCTTTCTATCAATGCTGTTATTCAATATTGTAAAATGTTGAAAAATGCATGCTGCGTGTTTAGCCTTGGTAATGAAAACATTCAGTAAAATCAGATTATTCTAAGTGGATAAGAAGTTTAAACATTTTTATGAATGTAGGAAGGAAACTTGCTGGTGTTTAATTCTTTTTGTTTCCTCTTTTTCGTCAGAATATAAATATAAAACTTCGACCGTTTGAACTCTTTCTCAGTAGCAAAAATAATGTTCTAGCATTTTCATTGTATGCCGTGTTAAATTGAGTTCGAAAGCAAGGAGGGCGTGGATGAGTCATGCGTGAACCTTGATCTTACTCACACGCCACAAACAGGAATATAATTGCATCTCTTTTCACCGAGAATTGCTACAATAGATGCAATACAAAATAACGGTGATGCGAAAAAACTAAATAGGCTTTAATTCCATATAACGTATAACTCTAGCTATATAAGAGAACTAAGTTTTTTCATAAGCTTAATGTAGTTGCCGAAAGACAAAAGTGAGGAGAAAATTAGCTTTGTAAAGAAATGTACCCCAAATCGATGAATAACGAAGCTCGAGTATGTATGCAGATGTATGGACTGGTTATCTACGTGGGCAGGAGGCAATTCAGTCAAAACTCATTAATACTGAAATCAGAAATCCCTCCATATATTTCAGTAGCAAGGAACTAGAAAACTTCATTAGTCAATCTTGATGCAGGTTACTTTTATTGATGTATTTCAATTGATACTTTATTATAAACTCAACAACGAATAGATGTTTCTACATGAATCTAGAAGCCTTTTCAAGACTTTTATTGACTGCCAATGTGCAATTACATTTCTGAGTAAAGTAGACGATAAGAGGTTTGATTTCTCGATAAAGTTAACTCAACTGCTTTTTTTTGTTTTCTTTTCCTTTAAAAATAGAAGCTACTGTTTATTCCATCTACTTATTCATCCTCAAATGTAAAAATATTTTCGATTATTACCATTTTTACTTATTGTGCTTAAACATTTGCTACAAAATTAATTTATTTAAGCTAATGATGTTAAATGAATAATGCCTCTTAGAACATGCATTTGAAAATAAAAAATCTTGTTATGTTATGTTATGGATGTGTTGTTCTTGAGATCTTCAATACAGAGAGAGGGAAAGTCTTTCTAAACTTACTGGATTTGATTCATATGACAACGGTTTGGCATTGATATAAATATTCAAACTAAACAGGGGATGTAATTTCATGTCAGTGTAGATTGCTTTAAATACTATTCAAAATAAACAGTGCAGTGATGGCAGTGTAGGATGCTTTGAAAGATATCAAAATAATCAGATGAAATTTTATTGCTGGCTTGTCATTGCAAAAGTTGATTGATTCTCTGGGGACCCTGCCGAGAAACATTTGGTCACACCACAAATGATAACCACTGACTTCCGGAGAGTACGTAGTTGATGAAGAATTATGATTGGGTTGACTATTGAGTTTGCTAAACACAGAAACCATGACCAGTACTGGAACACTCCGAATTGTGCCTTACCCTTTGGTGAGGTAGACATGAGGGAAAGCATTGTTAATTCTGCAAGGTAACACACAAGAAAAGCAGACAATATAGTCGCTGTTACCTTAGCTACACGAGATTCGGCAATGAATTTCTTCCTTTCTTCGTGGTTCAATAATTGCTCACTGATTTGTCTTTGTGTCTTTCGTACCTGACAGAGAATCCTTGTATGGCAAAATATTACAACGAAGAGATCTGCTACTGATGTAACTCCAAAGTACAATTCAATTGCTATACTGTTTTTCACCGTAAACCAGAGCGCAGTGCTGAAGACAGAGATGCCCCAAACAACAGCCACCCCAAGAAGGGCATATTTGTTGTGAAATCTTTCATGATACCAAAGAGGATAAAAAATTGCAATATATCTTTCCACTGCTTGATACACCACTGTCTGGTAGCTCACAAAACCCAAGAGATAAGAAATCGGTGCAACAATTAATGCCACGTTACAGGCATCTTGTCTCGCAACAAACAAAATGCATATCACAGCATACGCATTATATGTGAATACAGAGGCCATTAAATCTGTCAGTGCAAGGTTACTGATTATGAAATAAGCTGGTACATGAAATTTTGCTTTCCTGTATATTGCTACCAATATTGACCCGTTCAGTAACATCGCTGGTAACGCAATGCTGAGTATGACAAGAGATATGAGTATCAAAGAAACCTTGTATGAAGAGACATCTTCATAGGTATATCCAAGGTATTCGCATTTAGATACCATTTTGAATTATAGACGCTTCATCGCCTGTACTTTAACATTGCAAATTATACTTCGACTGCCGTGTACAAACATTTACAAGCGGTTTTGTTCTTACATTTCAGTAGAAAATTTTTCTCATGAATAATTCAAGGGATTGATTTCGGGCAAATTGCGCATGATAATAGAATATTGAACATAAAATACAAGCTGGTAATCAACTGCAATAGAAAACGCACCTTTCATTAATACATCTAACATTGGACCTAGTCTACAGGATCTATATTGACGACGTCATCAACGTAAGGCTTTAGGCAATATGGTGTCACGTGTCCGTTTATAAGTCACTAGGTTCTAACATTTTTGAATAACCGTATTTATTTCTTTTTGAAGAAGTAAATACGGTCCCGCAATTTCTTTGAAGCATAGAAACAACGAATGACAAAAATATGGTTTTCTTATGGTTTAATTGTTGCTTGTAAACAAGCTTGAGGTTTTGACACCTCAGTAGCTTGACAGGTATGTACTCTACAGGACTGTAAACAACCTGCCAGGTAAGAGGCAGACCTAGAGTGATGCTTTACCTGGTGGGCTGGAAAGGTTGCAGTTCTGAGTCAACATGCGATGATCATATCAAACTGAAAAGAGTTTTTAGTTTGACACAATCCTTCTTGATGCCTTGGGATATTGGGCAGTACAGAATTCTCAGTAAGGTCTAGGGGTCAAGTTCTGGAGCTCTCGCAATTTTGAGCCGAGTCATTATGTAAACCTTCTTCAAATCTTATCAACATTATGGCTATAATAAATAAATTTCAGATTCGACCAGATATGGCATTCAATTTACTTCAGGAAAAATAAAACGGCGAAACCAAAGAGTAAACAGGCTCAAAAAAGAGACACGCGAGATACACGAGCTACATGCGCACATCAAGCAATTTTGGTCAAGGTGTTCACTTGACCAACCATTTTACAATATTTAATTTAACATCCAACATATTTGGTGGGTCGTTAGATTGTTTAAATGGGACGGGGCAGTAATTTTATGTGCATTAATTGCTATTTGCTATTTGACATCTTGCTATTTGCAATAAGTTTGATTGTTGACAGTTTTAAACATTTATCCCTACTAAGTTTTTGTCCAGTTTGAAGCATTTATCCCTACGAATTTATCCCTACTAACATTTAGCCCTGCTACATTTATCTATAATTCTCCCAAATTGCATATCTAGCCAATTCGTAGCACATTGTTAGAAGGAAAATTGCAAAAGTATAGAGGACTTTTTTAGATTTTTCAGATTTGTTGGAGATTTTTCAGATTTTGTAAAGAATTTTCCAGATTTTACAACAAAGGGTATGAGATTATTTCTGTGATTTCCCCTTCGACATTTTCAATACAAATTGTCATTCAAATGTTGTTTTTCTATTAGTATCTTAATTCCTTATTGAAATATGTGTTATTAGAATTTATGTAATGTTGATACTTTTCAAGATTAGGATTCCAACAACTTCTTTTCAAGATAGGTTAATGAAAACAAATATATTGTATTAAGTTTGATTTAATCCCGGTCTATGGAAACTTTACAGCAAAATCCTTCCTTATAAATCGTAGCTTGTAGCTTTGATGTTTCGTTGATTTAAAAGACGTGAGCCATCAAGACTGGTTATACGTTTCACTGAAAAATATCAAGGAAAGTATATTTCATGCTGCAAAGTTCAAAGACACGTCGGCTGAGAATGATTTTTATGTTCTATATGAAACTCGAATTGAAAATCCTAATTGCTGCACAATAAGTATAAGATTCCAGTTTATCAAAAGATTTCACACATTTTCTTTAATGATAAGAAACTGGTGTAAAAGCCACTAGTACAAGGATGGCCAAATACTTTAGAAACTCTAGTACTTGGCTCAAGAAAGATAAAGAAACTGTTAAGTTTAAGTGTCAACCATGCTTTGGATTAAGGTCTGCCTTGGTTGTTTCGTGACAATCGGCGACTAAGTTCTTCAAAAACTTCAACACAAAAAGGCAACCCTAGGTCTCGGAAATCAACTAAGATACTTTAAGTACTAAAACGCCAAAATCTGCATGCCAAATTAAGTATATGGTGCTGATTTAAGTTTCTTTGAGAATAGAATAACCTACCCTTAACATGCAGAATTTTAACCATATCAACAAAGAACAATGTACTCTCGTGATCCGTTGTATTTTCAGGATCCGTATATTCTGGCAACTGAAATATATGATTATTGTTCAACTTGTATAGTGTATGAGCGTGATATTTAAAAGTTGGCCAAAGGATGAAAAGATCTAGGTTACCAGGAAAAATGCATTCTCCTGAAACAAAAAATGCGTCTTCTTATAAGCAGGAGATGTGAAGGAGCCACAGAATTTCTATTCTGTGAAGGAGCAGTCCCATAATCCCTGGCGCGGAAATCCAAATCTGTGTCTGTGTATTTGTTTTTGGCTATCAAAATGGCTTCCAGTGGCAGTTATCATTTGAAAACGAATTGTACAAATGTCGATGTAACATCAAACTTAAAGCAGAGAAGACATGGAGAAGCAATAAGAATGCAATCAAAGGGCCTTATTGCAAATAGAAGTGCTTATTCGAGTGATTTTTCAGCCTGGATTGAGTGTTTCAAAAATATTGATGTTGGGCCTTGCGATCTACACATTGGACCTGGACAAGCTCATGTTAGTTTCCTATTTTACAGATATTTGGCTTTTATTATTTGATTTGATGTTTTATTTATCAAGGCCAAACCACCAAGCAAACAGATAAACAGGAAATTTTGTTTGGCATTTTAGATCCGCTAGAAAACTTTTCACTTTGTAGATTCGAATTTTTCTGTATATAGGGCACTCAAATGCATAAGGTAAACGAAGTTCAGCAAAACTATGGAAAAGAGCAGTCTTTTCTAGCAACATTAACGCTGTATATAGACATGTTATACTTCTAGATCTACTTATGATGCTAAAAGGTTCCCAGCTATCTAATATGCGCGACGGCTGTAACCAGGGCAGTTTTCTTCTGGGGTGGCTTTGTGCCACAAAAAGGATCCAAAGGAGGTATTAGTTTTGTTACAAAGAAGAGCACTGATATGTTTAAAAATTATTTCAGCATATGTTTCACAGGCCTTGCTCTTAGCAAAATTAAGGTGCTCCAAAAAAGCTCCTAAGAGCTCCTAAGAATCTTAAGAAGCTCCATTTCACACCACTACATGAAATTGCCTTGAGAGCTTCTTTTGAAGGAGTGCAAAATGTTTCAAAAATAGTAGCAAAAGTAGAAATGATCTCCTCAGCATTGTTGTAGGGATTGAGTCCCTATAGAACCACACCCCTGAGCCCTGGGTGTGATCTGTAGAGTGGTATCTATTTGTATACAGCATTATATAAACAGATCTCAGGTGATATATACACATGTGTTTTCAAAAGTTTGCATTTACTTCTCAGTTAAAACAAATCAATGCATTTTCCATTGCATTTTCAAATGATTAAACTCTTAAATTGCATTTTTTATGTTCGTATTTTTGATGCAAGGAAAATAAAGTTTTATTTGGAGAATGTATTTTTTAGATGTGATATTTAAAGGAATTGGGTATAAAATGAGTATAAAATGTCATCAAAAGATTGATGGTATAAACTCTTGTACAAATTTTATAAATCATAACACTGCAGTCATTTAAGACAATGATTTTTTCACAGCAATATTATTTTACTTTGCAGGTACTCATTAAATTGCTCCCAATGGTTATTGTAAAGTTTTAACAAGCACCTTTCCAGGCAAGGCCTGGTGTTTAAATAAATTTGAAGTTTTTATGTTTTCTTTGTTGTCAAAACTTTTTTTTTCAAGACAAAATCTATTTTTGATAATTTGAATAGTTTGATTTTTGCATGTCCCTTGCACTCAAGGGAATCTAATTAGATATAGAAAGGAGTCTATATTTATAGACTGGTACATAATGTTGGGAAGACTGAGTGAGGTAAAGAATAATATTTTGATTTATGATTGATATCTGATTTGATGTTGCAAAATTGTTTAATTTACTTTTCATTAAATAAAGGTATTCATGATATCCAGCAATGTTATTTGCATAGTGTATCTTCCATGCCTATTGGTTTGAGCAAAACTTTGAAAAGATATATGAATTTGTTAAGGTTGATGCTGAAGAGATGCATGCAAAGATAAAGCAGATTGAAAAGGATCGCAATGAGAAGCTCAGACAATTTCAGCAAGAGGTTTCTGAAAGAGTGAGAAAAGTGAAAAGATTTGAGCACAAGAAAGAGCTCAATAAATCTTTAGAAAAGGTTTGTTTCTGGGACATATGAATATTGCTAAAAACAATATATTTGGCAAAAAGTCCTAACCAATAGCTCATCGGTAAATAGTGATGCTTAGACTCACTCATATTGGAACATGTTGCTTTGTCTGGCTGATAAACTAAGACTACAGGTTCAAATACAGTTTTCTATAAAACAGTGGTCCTCAAATATGACAGATAAAGCTTTTCCATAAACATTTCTTTGATAGTATTGCTTCTTTGATATTTACTTGCTGTACTGTAAATTTTGCTGAGAGTAAACTCCTTCCATCAATTTAACAGTGCTTTCCATTTAGGCTGATGATTTATATCTTAAGCAAGAACCTTCAAATTTTTAATAACTTGCTTAGAACACAACCAAATATTTGAATTTCATATCAACTTTCATGGAAGTTACATTTCTAACATCCAGGTGGAGAAAGAAACCAATGTAATTTGTCAGAGTGCTTTTCCAAAGAAAATACCGACAGCTAGAAGGAATACTTGCTCATTTAGATCCAGTATATCTGCTGACAAAATTAAGAACATTATGGCTGGAGAGGCAAACACAGATGCAAGTCACAGTATGGATAATGTATTGAGCTCTGTGCAAGAAATTGATCAGAAAACTCAGCAAGTATGAATTTTTGGCTCCATTTACTTTTCCACAAGGTGTTGCCTAAAATTTTGTTTTACTTTGCATGGCCAGTTTGTATGGTCACCTATATGTTGTACTTATTTATGCAAGGAGGCTTGATTATACAGAGCAACCTGTTTAGGGTATTGTTAAAAGCTTCTTCAGAACAACTATCACATACATTTGGAGCATTAAATAATGTAATCAAAACAAAAAGGCTAACACATTTTACAAGAAGAAAAAAAGCTAATTAAATGACATGAACAAACTTGCTAGGCCCAGCTGGAGGTGAGAAAATGGGGATATATATACAATAGATAAAGGCACAATAAAAGAGTGTGGAGGCAGATGGTAAAACCATCCAGAATAGCACAAGAAAAAAAAGGTTGAATGCTGTCCCCACATAATAAAATGGAAACTAGGCAAATATGGAATAATAAATGATAAATGGCATAATAAATGAAATAACGAATGAGCCTCTTAACCCCACTTAATTCCTAATAAATTCAGGTAACAATAAGAATCTACCCAGTTTGCTCTCATTAGCTATTTTTAACCGCCTTACCCAATTTTATTATAATACGGTTATTTATAATGAAGTTTATGGCAAAACATTTATAATGGTTCATTCATTATCTATTTTTAGTTTTTTTATATATCGTTAGAGTGACAAGCTATTGAGAACATATGTATAAGAATGATTAAAATGACAATTTTAAACTCTAAAATCATAAATTTATTTTGCATTTTGTCATGTATATGTCGGTGCATAGGTTTTCCTTGAAGAATGCATTTATTTCAAAATGTCTTGTGCTGCAGCATTGTATCAAGTGAAACCTTTAGATATTTTTCTTTATCATATCATAATCATTTGGCCTTTTATGGTTAAAATAAACCGTTGGTCTTTAGGGGTTGGAGTTGAATCATTTGTTTACGTAATGCTTGAATGTCCTAAAATATCTTATTATGTCTGTAATTTTTGAATCCTCAGTCAGTTATTTGTGAATTTAATTCGCATTTTAACATAAACTAGCCAAACATCTGCTCATTGTTTCAGCACAGATTGTTTATCACTGTTAATACAATCATTATCAGAAATAGTGTTTTCTGAATCACCATGAGCTTTACTATAGAAATATGGCTTTAGTTTAATATCCAAATTTTCTAGAGTCTAGCATTTCATATTTGCAGATCATTGTAAAGTCATAAATACACTGTAGTTCTACATTTGTTATCAGTATTTTGTAAGGTAGTTCGCAGTAATTTGCTGACAGGCTCAACTTGCTGACAGCCAAAGCAAGATGATTCTTTATTGTTTCAAGTACATTTTGGAATTTTTGGACGGCTAAGCTCATTCAGGCCCAACTTTTGGGGTCTCTGACAATTCTACTTGAAACTGCTTTAAGTTTTGTGTCTCAACTCTTAAAATAATTTTATCACGAGATTTTGTATAACATCTTCTTATAAATAACATCGATATCGTCTTATTTGGTCATTTTTGAACTTCAGAAAACTAATGGATATAGTCACAGGTACGTTTTTTGCCTATCGTGAGCCTTAGTTTGTCTTTTCCTAGATTCTTTAATAATTTACAACATCAATCAATTACTAAACATATTGCAAAACCTGCTGTTTATTTCTAGCGTCTCGTTGCAGATAAAAGAGCAGTCAAGCCAAGCAAGGGCCTGCTTGTTGTCGAAAGTGATGAACACAGACTTGGTATGCTATTTCATTCATAATCAAATAATGCAGGTAGTGCACCAGCAAGATTGGCAAGCTGCCCTATCAATTGGCTGCTTTATTCATCCCCAGCATATCTTTTTTTCTGGCTCTTAAGAGTCTATTTAGGATAATATTCACCAACGACGAACTTGGAAAGCTTTAGAAATCTTGAAGACTGAAGGAAGAATTTTTCTATCAACTTTGCTTTATGAAATGCAATTGAAAAATGATTTCGGTCAGTTATAAATGTCCCCTTCCCAACAGACTGCAACACAAACAGATGTCCTAAGGAATGTGATATTCCCCTATCATGTTCAATATTAGACTTTCATAAATTCTCACATTGCATAGTTCCAAGGGTCGAGCAAAAATTTCAGACCATTTTCTTCTTTTTTTATTAATTTTTGCATTTTATGCATTGACCACCATCTTTAATTTCTTATTACAGTCAGGCCTTCCAGGAGGCTACTGGGGGCAGGCAAAGCCTCAAAGAAAAAGTTGCGATGAGGATTTAAAAGCTGTAAGCAGATTTCATTACTTGAATTTTAAATGTCTCTCTTCAATTCTCGAATATTTTTATTTAGAATCTCAAATGTCCGTCCTAGGGAAGATCTGATTAGTTGCGCAACCTCATGTTTATATTAATATACAGGCTCTAGATTCTGAAGATACTGTGGGAAAAGTTCTCCAAGCACAGCATGAAAAGAACGAGGTTGAAGCAGTTTAGGCAAAGGGTCTCAGTGCTGCGAGGTGGCTGCGATGTTTATTGACAGAGACAACGCAACTCATCTCCTATGTAATCTTTCTGGTTCAACAACAAAACCATATAGACGCTAGGACGCTAAGAAGGCTATACCGATGATTTTGTGGGAACATTACCTATGTTTAGAGGGAACTCGATAACTTCAATGTGTCTTTTTACCTTAGAATATTTTTTGTCCAACTGGAGGTTTATATCTTGTTAAAAAATAGTTTTCACCCTACTAAAATCCAAAAAATTAAGTAATATTTGAACATTTTGTAAACTGGTTTGCTTTGCACTGTACAAAAAATTTGATAAATATAAAACGAGAAATGACATCGAATGAAAATGAATTCACTTGAATCATTTAGGAGTTGAATCAGAAGAGATTTTTCAAACAATGTCAAATTTGATCATGTTCTTTAGTTAGGCTAACCTGACTGAGCCCAAGAGAATATATTCTATAAAAGATACATCCACCTGTAACACGTTCTTGATTCTTTAATCATTACTCTAAGAACCTTTTGTGATTCCGTTAGTTACTTCTATTGACTTTTCAGGAGATAAAATCTTAATATTGAATTTCCAATTCGCTTATATATAAACATGACCTAATAGTATTTACCTTACAACTAAACACGATGACCTTACAAAGTTGCATTTTGTACTGTATTTGTACTGTGTTGTTTTGTATTGTGTATTTATAGTGTATTTATGCATTTATGCAAAGTTTTGGATTATTTGTAGCGTTGGATGTGGAGGCAACTCGATATCGTTATGTTTTAGCCTCCATCTCAACAATGATCAGCTTGATTTTTTTTGTATTTGTTTTTATTGTGATAAAAAAATAGTATTCACCTTTAGAATCAATCCTTTAGTCACACTGGATCTTGCAGGTCCTCATGATATACTATCTCTCTTTTATTTAATGAAAACGTTGATTTAGTCATTAGGGTAAAAAAGGACTTTAAGTGGGATAATGCTATTCGATGCAGGGATAAGATGGGTATAACTCGTAGCTTGCTGTTTCTCATCGTCATTACTCGTTAATATTATGTAGCATGATATAATTGCACTGCAGGATCGAGACGCAAGCCAAGTTCTTGATCAGCTTTCCTTACATTGTGACAATGAGCAGAAAAGACAGCCAGGTGAAATTTTAAATGATATGTGGAAAGGGTTTGACACTGAGAGGTCCTTAAAACACCAGTCTTCAAAGATTAACACCGAGAAAGATCACTGTGACAGGGAATTCCACAAGGCAAGGAGAAACAGCAAAGAGAAGCGTAAAATTCGCTTTAATCTTCCGGAAACAGAGGCTATGCCGTCTCATAATGACGAGTCTCACAGTGGTGAGTCTTAGGCCCTGTTCACACGATACTGGATTCATTTCATATCAGATTCACTCACCCAGTCCGATACGAATATTAAGCTCTGTTCACATGATACCGGATTCATTTCGAAACCGGTATCGGTATCGTGTGAACAGGGCCTTTGAATCTTCCGTAAAAAGCATCAATCCTTTGAGCGTGCTTCTTTCTTCATATGTTATTAAGTATGTTCTTATAAATTTCATTGTTTTTCATTCTTGACTAATTTTTGCAAACTTTGCAAGTCATACCCTTTGTATATAAATCCCCCTTCTGATACCAAAGTTTAGAACAACAAGTCTGATATCAGATCATTCAGTTGCCAAGGATTGTAAATCTGAACTCACACCCAGATGAAATCAAAAGAGCCCAAAATTAAACGGTACGGTATGGTACAGTACAGTGCCGTACAGTACGAAACAGTACAGTGCCGTATAGTACAAAACAGAACAGAACGGAACATGACATAACATAACATAACATAACATAACATAACATAACATAACATAACATAACATAACATAACATAACATAACATAACATAACATAACATAACATAACATAACATAACATAACATAATATTATGCATATTATTTTTTTATTTTTTGTCTGACTTTATTTTATATTTTATATTAACGCCAAAAGGCAATAATACAACTTCTTCAACTTCCTAAAGGTTCCGAATTCTTGGTCACCTTGCTTATTTTTTCCCCTGCTACCTTCATCCGGCTAGTGGTCGCGGGGCCGTGATGTTTTCCCGACTCTGCAGTTGAATATAGCACAGAACAGTACAATGAATACCATGTAGCTGCCTGGTACCCCTTAGGAGCATTGAACATCTTTGCTACAATCGCAATCTCTAGCGAGACAACCACAATAATATATGAGAAATTCTTATCCCTGTTTTTCCTGTTCCAGACATCACATCCATCTGTTTGCCTTTTCAAAAATTCTTTTGTTGTTTTTCCTTTTGAAATATTTCTCTACATAACTGAAATAAATATTTGAAACATTTTGTTAGATTTTCCAGCTTATCTGTAGGAAATCCAAGATAATGTAGAAAAATTTCCATTCTTGATATTCAAAGCTTCAAACCTGGGACCGAATTGCGTTTTTCTGCTAAAGTTTTTTTAGACTTATATTGTGATTCTAAAAAAAGTGCTGTATTGATATTTTAGCCGTGGCTCACAACACAGGTTTTTCGAATTGATTTGAATAAAATAAGTTTTTTTGAAGGAGTTTTTTCCAAACTCTAAATTTTGAAACTTGCTTTTCAGGTAATCTAGATTTGCTTGCTAGACAATCGAAGGCCAAAAAAGACCCGATAGTGACAAACTTTGGAGCTGATAACCAAATAGATAAAGAGGTGGAGAAACGCATTGATGATTTCAACAATACGCATGCAGATTTGTTTTCTCTTTTTTCAAGAAATATAACGATCATAGGTTATATGAATCTTTTGGCTTTACCATATCGAGGGAAAATTGATTGGCTACACAGGTTGCTTAAAGTGAATGACCTGAAAAAAGTGTAGATATACAAGCGTTCTTCCTAAAAGCCGTGCTATTTTCCCTGTTGAGATAATTTCATAGAATTCATAGAAAATCAAAGAACATCTTGAGTAAACCTTCTCCGACACAAGTTGTTTGTGCAGAAGTTCGAAAGACATTAAGCGATCATAAATCTCAGTCTTCTGCCGCCACGTGAAGAAAACACAAGGCTTTATATTTTCCATGCAAACTAAATCTCTATGATTTTCAAGTGGTTTGATGCTTCAGTTGGGCTTCCTAGTAGATAGATCATGGTTGGGGTGAATGAGGATTCCATTGTCAGAATGAAAAAGAGCTTTACGCTTAGAGTGTCGTGTACAGTGACTCAGAAGACGATCTTGAAGAACGTTGAAACGATTAAATTACGTCGAGATGATCCGATTGTTTTTTATAGTGTCATTTATCAGTTAGTAATTAATAGCGCTGAATTTTTCCTTCGAACGACAATTCAAAATTTAGTCTCAACAAAAGATGTATTAAGTTTTTTAGATGTCTATTTAATTAAGGATAAAAATTTTAAGATTACGCTATTTTCTTTTGAAAACGAAGCTTTTGGCCCCCCGTAACAGACCATAATTCAATTTTAAGCATTTATGCGCAAGAAATATGCTTAATTAACTTTAAGACTTTAACTTATTTCCATTTAAACTGTTTTTCATTTATTACTTTCATATACGCAAAGACGGGACTTCAAACACGAAAAAGAGGCCGATGGCCCCTCAAAATCCCCGTATAACATTGATTTTCGAAATCAGCACCCTCGAATTGACCAAAAACACTTGGTCCCATAAATTTCGCTCTCGAGCGACCATTGCCCTATTCTCCGCCTGGTCTATATGGGCCCATGCTGTGAACTACTGATTTAGATAGGCCATTAACTTTCAAAGCGGGTAGAGCGACTGAAATTAATTAGCTGAAATTAAATTTCCTTTTAATTTTCCATCTCAAATTTCCCTTTTGACTAGCAATCAAATTGAGTCTGTGATGCAATTTTCTTAAAAGAGCCGATACATTGTCGTTTTGGAAAGCGTTTTATGCGAGTTAAGGTTGCTCGGCTCCCGGATTTTTAATTTGTCTTATTCTTGTTCACCTGACAGAATAAGCAGCAGTATTGGACTTACAGGAAATTATTCATGGATATTGATAGAGAAAAAGTGCGGGAAATTCAAAGACGAAAGAATCACCTAAGAATTATCACAAGGTATTCTCTCTCGTGGCAGCTGTTCATCTATTGAGATGTTCTGATGATATAACTCTTGCTACTATTGCAAAAATATTTCTTTTTCTATCACAATCTTCTATCCTTTAATAATTCAGACCTGTTTTTTGACAAATGTACCATTTTGTTCCAAATGCAGAAGCATGACTCCATTTTCCTGCATTTAGTTTATTCAGCAACCCGCAAGCATTATCCGCGTTTAGCGTAAGATTACTTTATCATGTAGCAGAATTGTTTTGCTATTGTTCAAAGAACTTTACAATGCTATTTTTAGGCTAAAGCAAGAAAAGGAAACTGAACGACTGAAGATGGAAAAGGAAGTTGAAGTCTGCATTCCAAATAAAAATCACGAGGATTCAGATGGATTGGTTCGAAATCTTCATATCTTATTGATATCCATCAATTTTTGTGCTTTGAGTAAACATTAGCTTTCAGAGTTGAGTTTTTAGAAAAAAGAGGAACAGAATCTACCTTACATTGTTTGCACCATTTTGGTCACTTATCTTTTTCTATACCTAAATATTTTGCTGTTCTGCTCGCATTTTGTTTTTTATAAATTCTTTTATTCATTTTGATACACTCTCTGCTTCTTCAAGTACTCGTTATAACAATGTTCTTCTTTCAATATATTTTAATTCCATTGGCGAGTCTTTAAATTTTTTTTTTGAATTTTGAAAGTTTTCTTGGCAGAATTATCTTTCTATGCGATAAATGAATATATTTGAAATTCTGTAATCTGTTAATGTTCAGAAAATTCTGCCACAAAACCCTCTATCTTCATAATGTCTTCGCAATTCAAATGAGTTTAATCTACGCCTTCTATTGATGTACTTGCTTAATGTAAGCAAATTTTGTCTTCACTTTTTATTATCTATATTCAAAGCTACTGTATTTGATATTAATTCTATTTATTACTGTTCATGTTATTCTGTTGCCTATTAGGTCGATGGTGTGAAACAAGTCAAGAGCAGCGTATGCACAAAACAAAACATGGAAAAAAGAAAAGAGACCATGAGGTTTTTCTTTTGTTGTATTGTATATATATATCATAGAGTTGAAGAAAGTAAAACTACATGGTTTATCTCTGCAAGCCTGTTTCGTGAGTAACTCACGAGAGAGAGAGAGAGAGAGAGAGAGAGAGAGAGAGAGAGAGAGAGAGAGAGAGAGAGATATGTATCAAAGTTTATTTTCAGTTTTCCAAGATTAAAGTTTTCTACATATTTCAGATTTTAAAGCTGCTGAAGCCTAATTTCGTCTCGTTCATGCAAGGCGAAAGTCTACTTGTCTCTTGTTAAAGCTTGTTTTTTCATTCGGATACCTGTTTTTATTCATTGCTTAGATACATTTATGTCATGTCACAGTCAAGTTAATTACATTTTCGTTGTTATTTTATGTAATTCAATTTACATTGCTTACTTGGGGCCTTTTAATATAAGAAAATTACCACAGATTGATCAATCACACCATCTCATGTTGCTATGAGAGCCATTGCTAAAACCTAATATCACTTTATAATTCCCTTAGATTCACTTGTGACATTCATAATTTATAGTAGATTAGTTTAAGAATCTTAATGAAAAATATGTTTCATAATCCAACGTTTTTTGATGTTTCATTCTCAAATCTAATCCCCTTGAGAAAATACGCTGGTCCAAATTGTTGGTGATGAGAATTTCAGTTTATGGCTTATTTTTCTCAGGAAAGTTTGATGACACAGAAACTTTTATGTTTGATTTTATGAATCAAATATTTTACTTTGGCAGGCTTCTACTAGATTCCAAGTGTCTGTCGGGCAGGCAGTGTGATCCTTGCCTCTTTAGGGGACTGCCACCCCACCTGTCCGAAATTATGTCTTTGCAAGTGCTGGTGATATCCTTCGCTGTTTTTTGCAAATACATTTGCACAATTTCATTATAAACATTTTGTATATAAAGTAATAGATAGAAAGTAATAGATAGTAAAAGAAAAAAAGTTTTATTTTTGGTGCAGTTTGTTGTTAAAGTTGCAAGACAGCAATTAATGGGAGTCTTCGAGCGAACAGATGTTGGTTGTTTTTTTCGCTTTTTATGGCTTTCTGATCGAGTACAAGGATGGTACTATAGTGAAGAATGAAATTATTTCCTTTGGTAGGGAGTAACTATAGGATAGCAACTTCCTCAAACGAGGAATCTTTTTCAAGAGTTTTTGACATTTGCAAATTATGTATGAATTTCAGTGGTATGTTTATTTACTTCAGGTACATAGATGCTCTCAAGAGCCTTATTCTTCAAAGAGTCAATGGAGAAGACTCACGTCTGCCACCAATATGCTCATGTGGAACTACATTGATGGAAACGCATCCAGAGACGTGTGCAAACAATTGTGTCTTCTATCAAAACCCAAAAGGTAACTTATTAATGTGAGCATATAAATGTATTTTTATGAAAATTACTTAAATTTAGCTTGTTTTGCGCAATCTTCTTTTCATGAATGTGCCACAATTTACTTAGACCCTTCCGAAGGGGTATGTTGGGGGAAATTGCCTGTCCTGTCACCATACTATGTCACTCTTTGGCTCAATCATACTATAGAGCAGATTTGGGCATCTTAGGGCCCGCGGGCCAGATCCTACCCTTTGGACGTTTCTGTCCGCCCCGCGTTAGTGTTTTCAATCAGAACTTTTGTAGGAATATTTTTCCATTTGACCTACACACACCTAAACTTCATATATTCATAAAAATATTAATGAAATGCCTATATCGTTCTGATAACCAGTAGTAGCTAAAATATGGTATAAGCTATTGATCTTCTCATTAGGAGAAATGAATATTGCACATAATAAAGTTATCATTGATTTGGCCCTTCACCACAGCTCAGGTTTCTCGTGTAGCCCCTGTAATAATTGATTGCCCATCCTTGCTATAGAGTTAAACATTTTTCTTGTTAAGTCTCACACCGCTTACCAAAAGACATTAATCTCGCCGTTCAACGTGGAATAATCGATTTCTTAGTATCACACTTCCATTACGAATGTTGAAAGCTGTTAATAATTTTCTTTATGAATGCATTTGCCGCCCAGTCAAAGCGATTTCTGGTTCAGCGTAAATGTGTTAATTTTGTTAAGTCTACCAGTGCAGAGATTGAAAATACTATCTAACATTAGATAAAAGTAAAAACACGTAGGCGTTATCAAGAAGGTGTAGTAAAAACATGAGCATAAAGAAATGTGTTTTTTAAGTTCAGCTTGGCCAATAACGATGTTATGAATCATATGTAGATGGCGCAAGAATCATATGTAGCTACCTTTCGATGAATGATAAAGTCTTTATCATCAGTCTACTTGGTAAAGCAGGGTATTCATCTAGTTGGTATGAATTGGGTTCAAAGAAGTCAGTTTTAATATGTAGTAATCGCTAACATGTTATAGATGTCTAAAACAGGTATCCTACAAACAAACAGACTTCTAAAGGGCTAAACTACTCAAAGTTAATTTTCTTGATTGGAAAATAAAACATAGTAGACAAAAGTCTTATATAACATACAGATATCACAGAGTTCTTCCACCATGAATCAATCTTTAGGCCGATTGGATTAATTTTTTATTCAATATGATCTATAGGTCGAAACCCGCTTAATCTAACACAACATACCATGACAACTTCAAAAACAATGAACCAAACTTTAAGAAATCTGCTTAGCAAATGAACCCCTAAAGAAAATCAAAGTTAAAGATTGATTAATCACAAATTCAAAATTAAGATATTAAAATGCTCAATTCACAGAATAAGGAAATCAAACATAGTTACTGGATCATGTATTGACAAGGTCATTCCTCCATTGTTCTTGTTTTTCCCTTTGACGACATGAGGCTTATTTTTTTCTAAGTCTAGTTACATGAGAATTTTTTTTACTCACCAGGTAAATGAATTGGTCTGTTTTATCTAACTTATTTCGTAATTTTTCTCTAGAAATAGGAAATTACAGTTCCCGGGCAATTAATTTAGTATCAACATGTCATATACAGAATATATCTGGTTGTTTGATTGAAGAGGCAATACAAAATACTGGCGAAAGCACAGTCAGAGGGCTATGTTAAAAAGAGTTTGCACAATGAGGTTTTCCTCTGATATTTATAGCTTTATCATCTAAAAACCTTGGAATAACGATTATTTATCAAGATTTTCAATTACTTATATTTTTGTCAATAATTCTTACCACGCTTCTCAGTGCTCTACTTTCGCTTCTTTGAAGGATTCTCGGGCTATTTTCAACAGCTTCTTTACTTATTTATTCGATTTACGACAACAGTAATTTCTGCACCTGAACTTTTCTGATGTTTCAGAGCTTCCGTCAATCATATAAAAAATGTTTCCATGACTTGAAAACCTAGAATATTCAATGTTAGTTTTGCTAATAAATATTCCATGTTAATGAGAAAGTGTCAGGCATTGAGGATTATTTCTTATCACTGCATAGCAAAGAGTTCAAAACCACCGTTTTTATAAACCTTTCGAATTACAATACCGGCATTACATAACTGTACTCTAAAATATACTATATCATTCTCAAGATATCTAGAGTTGAAGCAGGTGATAATGCTTATCGTGCTGCCATGTGCAAGTTTGAGAAAAAACTCACCTACTAATAAAGAACTAGCGGAATGATAATTTAGGGTCGCCTTCACAGGTTTAAGTGAAGAATTTTCTTAGCCAAGGCAGCGGAGTATTACATGATTCAGGGTGTAGTTCTGAGTACCAGTACGAGTATATGGGTTATAAGGGAGTACTACATGGTAGCTCTAGAAGATCAAAGTAGTCCAACAGAGGTTTGGGATGTAACTTGGAGATTTGACCTAGAGAGGCAGGTGTCCTATTCAAGAAAAATAACTTAATTATCCCAGTAGCTCTGTTGGATTTTACGAGTATCCGTTTATATGTGGCGAGAAAGAGAATCAACTGTCTAAGATGCTTATGTACATCTACAGTAGTAACAGGTGTACCTTGAAACTGAATGGAAAGATAATTAGAGTGGATATTTTATGTTGATATTTTTTGTGGATATTTTACGAGGATGAAATAGGATGGTCAATCTATTTGTTGAAGGCAGGATAAAAATTCATCTTACATTCGAATGCAAGATCTTTTATCAAATAAAAATCATGATCAAGGTGGTTTTAAAAAGAGTGACTTCTACGAAATTCGTCTGAGCACAGTATTGAATAGATTATGCTGCTAATAAAAAGTTTCAAAATATTTATGATGGTACAGAATTAAAGACACGCATCAATCCGTCAAACTCTCGTGAAAGACATGCTCGAGCAGAGGTGAAATCAATTTTTCAGATGGAAGGGGGGGAGACCCACAAAAACAAGCAAATATCTGACAAATTACCGACAAAAGGGCTAAAACTGCGTTTTAACCGACAATTTAGGTACTGTTGGGGCGCTCACCCTCCTCCACAACCCCAACAATGTCCGTCTCTGCTGGAGCTACTTTCAGCTATTCATCATTTTATGCAAAGCACGCGTAGATTTTCATATTTGAAGACTATACTTTGTATGCTTATGAAATTTTGCTTAGCGAGAAGCGACTAATTTTCAATTATTAACATTCATTATGTGTAGCTCAAGTTACGATAATGTCTTTTCTTGATTGACTTCATAGAATTCGCACGTGTTCTCTCTACCGTACTGGCAACCATGGATAGCTGAATTGTACCAAAGAAGACGAGTCCTATAATTTACAGTAATTGTTTTTAATGTGAAGTATCTACAATATTTTCTCAAAATCTTCTAAATAAACTCGTTTTTCTTGCTTATTCTTCGTACAACTAGCAGTCCTCATAGCCATTACAATGTGCCTAAACGATTACAACCACGATATCTCGGTTTATAGGCTTGGTTTACGTTGATGAGCACCACTTATGATATTTCTATTTATCAAGATGTTTCGAAGAGGGATGTTGCATCCTGCTATTTCCGAATCCTCACTTTTCGGCAGAATTGAAACCTGAATCGAGTTTATTGGTAAATTTTTTTGAAAATACGAACAGCACTCTCAAATGTAAAGACATGCCATTGCCTATGTTCATAACCCTGTCTTGGTGTTCCGCTTCTGCCAGAGTATTTCCGTGGCTATAGATTCATGAAATATTGCCAATCTCCTAATCAAGAACAATTTGGTCCACTACTTCAATCGGGGACTCATTTTTCCTTTATTCAATGCTCATTTTTCTTCATTCTGTAAACTTTTGAAAAAACTGCTAAATCTTACCATACGTATGTACATCAAGGCAAAACAAAACTATGGACAGGAGAGGTACTGACTACCAAGCTAAGAATAAAACAGCATAATCAGGGGCGAAAATCCCGGGGGTGTAGGGGGTGTAGGGGGTGTGACCCCCCCCCAATCTAAAAAATGGTCGATTTCGCAGGGCATAATGAAGAATTTTTTAAAGCGCAGGAACGCAACCACTGAAGTTTGTAAATAGCCCGTTTATGAATTTTGAAATAGATATATCACATTTGCGATGATCTTCCCTTCCTGACATTGCAAAATGCAACGATGGTTGATGCATAGGTTTAGTGCAAGGTCCACACAAAGCAATTTAAGTTGTAAGTTCCTCACTTTTTTCAAGATAAGAATTTTTTACCGTTTTTTCTTTTACTTTTTAAATCAGTGTATGAGAATAGGAGAACAAACTGTTTAGATACCGATTTTGTTTGGTTTATTTACTTACTTATTTACATCGATGTGCAATCAGAAACGAAAGGTCACAATTTCTTTCTTTCCCTGACGTGTTACTTGAGTTTTAGTATGACACCTCTCCTCCTCCATTTTTCCCAATAAACAATAATCAGTGTTTTCTGAGAAGCGTCGAATTGTCCTTCCTAAGCAGTATAGTATTTTGCTAATTTTTAGCCCGGGAGATGCCTTTTTAGCCCCTCTACAAGTTACAATTTCAAAAATTTTCTTTTGCGTCGGACCGAACCTTTCGCGTCCTCCTACCTCACCAAGCTTGATACTTCGGCCACCAGATTCAATTTTGTTGCGTCGCCCCTATCATGTAGCCGAAAAACCGTGTGATGTAAGTTTTATTGCAAAGAAAAATCAAATTTTAAATTTAGATTACGCTCACGTAGATAAATAAACATTTCACAGGCAATGGTAAAGAAAAAATGTACATTGGTAAAACTTTCATTAGCATCCTATAGACAAAACTTTGCTTCGAGGTCTGCAGGGCACCACTCAATTTTGCAGAGCAGAAACCTTTTTCACCCCCCCCCCAAACTTATTGGCCTAGTTACGCCCCTGAACATAATTTGTTTATCCGAAAGTATATACATGGCATATCGCGAAGGCCAGGTGTCTCTATTTCTTGATAATGAGTTTGTGAACTCAGAGATTAGGAAACGTGCACTCTGAAACGTTATAAAAAAGTAATAAACGATTGAATTACATTATTCATTCAACATTTTTACGCTAACCTAGCCTGTACGATTTCTAGAATATTACCTGTTATTATTACGACAATATAAGAGAGTCATAATATCAACTCAAGTAAACACACGCTTTAAACTGAACTTTAGGGGCAAGACTTCAACCAGAAGGCTATGACCGAGAGTCTAAAACTGAATGTCCCAGAAGCAAACTTTCTTTCGTGGCACATAGAATTCGAAAAGGTCACATTTCTTGCATCCTGTAATCCCGCAATCAAATTTATCGTTAGGGTTGACACTCCGGTTTGATTCTGGACAGGTCTTGATTGCGCAAGGAAACCATCGGAAGCAAAGGGATCTCCTGCATATGCACCCTAGTTCCCACATTGGGACTGCTTCTTCACACAAAGGATATGCTGACTCATTTCTCACAGGCAGCCATTTCAATCTATTTTGGATATTTGACATTTTTTCCCCTGCAAACAATTAAAAGTCATTTACAATATTATTTAATAGTTTCAAATCCGCACACATATGTGATGATGATGATTATTGTTCATTAATGATGTGAATGCGAAGGAGCGGCTGATTCTGGTGTTTCAATAAGAAGAGAGATAAGGGTGATGTTAGGTTCGTCTGCGGAATTCTGAGAGCTAAAGCAGCTGCTGCAGATGTTCAAGTCTCAGTCACGTTGTGGACATACTTATGTTGAAAGCTCAAAACAGTATTTTGAAAGCACTGTTAAAATACACTTAAGTTGAAGGAAAGTTTGATTGATATTTTGTCGGAGCATTTTAGGCCAAGCTTCATTACAGCTGGACTTCCTCAATGCAATTAGTGATGCTATACAATTCATAGTATCGGGAAGATTTTTGTATAGCATGGAAGCTGGACAGTTACAAAAAGACTCGTCGTGTTTCCAAGCATTGCGGTCATGCACGCTAAGAATAACATTTGTCGTGGTTATTGGCTTTGGGTTGTGTGTTTCTGGACTTGTCGTTTGCTACGAAGTGTACGGGCAAAAGATCTTGACCGGTAGCCAGGGTGATGTAGCCCTTAAAAGCGTATCAACTAGTTATTGCCAAGAAGTCAAGATTGCTAGTAAGTCCAACGGTACTTATTTTAGCGCGTATATTGTCAGAGGAAACCCGCCAATGTCATCAAAAAGTGTTGTTTACGTCAATGCAAAAACATTTTTCATGCCCTCGTGGTCATATCAATATTGGACATTGTACCTACTGAAAGGCTCGCATGTTGATATATACATCTGTGCCAATCAGTATTTAATGTTCTATGTTATAATGGGAATGAAGTCATTTAAAGAATGGAAACAAACAACTCTTTATCAAGACTATGATCAAGTTCATCGGCTGTTTCCAAAAGAAAACTGTAAGAACAGAGATAGTTTCAACCATTATACAATACAAGTAAAAAATTCAGATTATTATCATCTTCTTCTGTCATCATCTGTTGGTTGGAGATTCTATACAAAAGTTTCACTTGCAGTACATTTTGATAGAACTGTGTACAATACCACATCAGCAATTCAGTCATGTGTTGATGTGGGATTTAACAGTACATGCTCATTGTCATTAGAATACAACTCTAAAGATTCCATTGTCATAGTGCATGGAGGGACCAAAGGAAATATTCCAGATATGTTCCAGACAAGCAAACTTTATTGGCATCCAGTTCCTAGACTTCAATATTATGCGAAATTCTTTGGAGGAATTTTTACTGCTATCCTGTTCTTTACACTCTTCTATACTGTTTATCGCTTCATTGTGAAGAAATTAGACAAATCAAAGAAAAAACAAAAGAAAATGACCTCTAGAGAGCTAATTCTTGGAGCAGATAGGAGGTCAAGTAGCAAATTGTACCTTCCAAGGCGTCCAAGGAGGACTACACTAGCAAGCTATGAAGTTGTTGGGCAAACTGAGGAAGAATTGGAAGATGAGAGAAATATGTCTCGACTCAATGAGGAATTTAATGCAAGCAATACATATTCAACAACAGAACAAGTACGAGATATGAGCATGACAGCTGCAGGAATAAGTGCTATCTAAAAAATCTGATGCAATGTAAAAACAAATAAGTGCAATATTAAATGAACTGGGACTTTAGTGTGAACTGCTCCATTCATATGTGATTATTAACCATTAGGTTACTGAATTCATAAACTAAATTTAATGAAAACATGAAGTTGATTTTAGCACATAAATCACTGATGATATCAAAATGATTTCTAGGTCAGGTTGTTTGATTCATACATAAATTAGTATGAGTCATTTGAAGTCAACATAGCAACTGGCCCCAGCCCTACTGTTACTTCAACGTCCCTGAATTTCTTCCTAAAAAAATACACACATTAAAACATTTCATACTGTCACTAGGAAAAGCAGAAGCAGGATGGGATGGGGGGCTAGAGGGTATCAGCTACCCTTAAACTTGCAAAAGGTTTTGATAAATATCAACTTAAGAACCTTTTTGTTTTCAACAAATGGAAAAATTTTGATCACCCTGTCCACTCCCTTAATATCTATGATGCTCTGCATACTATACTAACTCAGTCCTTGAAATGATGATAATGATTGAAGTTTATTGTGTTCCTAATAAGCGTTAGTTATAGCCAGGCCTGGAAAGAGATAATGCTTGAGTTAGACCAAGCCTTTCCACATGCCCAACTGTGCCCCTAAAAGTTCAATGTGATAAGCATAACACCATTGTTTTTTTATTAACTCACATAGCATGGTTATTATACAGCAGGGCCCCCTTGGTGGTCCCTCTAAATGTTATCTTCATATAAGCTGTATTGAGAATGCAGATTTAAGCATTGAGATATTCTGATGCTAGTTTTGCGACCAAGTTTGAAAGGGGCTACGATTATAGTGCACTTGCATAAAAGCCAAGAGATTTTTTTACAATGAGATTCCAAGTTATGGGCATTATTGCAGCAGTGTCTTTTATATCAATACATTAATTAACCTTTCATAAATAACTTCCATGGAAGCTTACCAGAATTAATACTGACTAAAAACTTTTATATTTAAAGCCCTAAACAACTGTTTCTAAAGGCCTAAAATGACTCTTGTTGCCAAGTTACATAAAAGCATATGCTAGTTGTAGTCAAAAGGCCCAAATTCTTAAGCCTGTAGAACCATGCAAATTATCTTGGTGCACAAATGTATCCTAATGTTGTAATCTGATTTGGTATTGTGATGATTTATTGAGCAATTTTTTACAATAATATCACAAAAGGAGAACAGAGTGTTGGAAATATCTCACCTAATGTTATGACTGGCTATGGCAACTAAGAAAACATGCAAGTTTTTCAGCTTAAATGAAAGATGAATGACAGTTGAGCAGGTTTATATTTTACTTTAGCTTTGTTGATGAAAAAAATGTTCTGTGGTCCTCTCTTTACTTTTTACTGTGTGTAGTGTGAAAGTGATTTTCAATAGAAAAATTGATACAAACCGTTTAAATATCTGTAGAAAAAATCAACTGACATGTAAATATCTTTTTGCCCTGAACACTGTTCAGTAATTTCTCCCCTCTCTGTCTTGAATTCATTAACATCAATAACTCCTTTCATTATCTTTGTTTGTTTCACTAAATCAACACCTGCAGATTCTTCACTTTCCTGGTATGATACCTGAAATGTTATAATGAGTAACAAACATGGTTGCAAGTGACTTGATACAAAAGTAAGTCAGCATGACATAATTGCTAAATTATTATCTGCCCCAATTTTTTTTTTCATTTTGAATACAATAGTGATCTACCAAGCCTTATATTTTCAAACCACATTAAACTTGGTAGCCGTGGAAGAGCTAAGTTTCTAAAACACCAATTTCTGTATTCTCTCTTGTATTTCCAAGGTGGGTTTATTGATTCAAACTCCTAGTTTAATAGGTGATTTTAAAGAGGCAGGATTACTAGAGAGGCAGAGTTATTTTTTTCAACATGCTTTTTGTTAGTAGGCTTGAATTTTCAACCTGTTCTCCTGTGTTTTGGTGCAAAAACAGGAAACATTGCATACAAATGGTATAGAATGTCAACGAAAGTTGTCATCAAATACGAACAACAAGAAACTATGCTGAATGGCCGCAAATCATACAAAACTGCAAATACATTGCAATCCATTGCTTTCTTTCTTTAATCAAACACACATGCGGCATTATCGGAGAGGCGGGATTAGTTTTCCAAAGAATAGAAAAAAGGCTGGATGATTAGAGAGGCAGGAATAGTAGAGAGGGCAGTGATACAAGAGAGAATACAGTAAATGTCCCATCACTATCATGAAAGTTTTCAAATAAAGGTGGTAATAGAGAGTTGATTTCTTCACAACCCATAAGCAAGGCTTGTCAATGTCCCAAAACCTGTCATTGGATGACTTTGCTCATTCATCAAAACAATGATGACAACATGCATTAGAAGTAACTGAACCTAAATCAAAGTCCAAAAACCAATGTCTGAGTCTCTTTCAATATACAGCTTTTACTTTAGAAGAAAAATGCTGCTCATTTTTGGATATATGGTAGAGAATACTAGATTGTATGTAGTATGTAACCAATTCCAAAGAGCACACTCTGTCTCAAATTACTTATTATAATTGACAGAGAATGATATCCTCTTTTTAGATGAAAAACCATTTAATTCAGCAGAGGCTGAAAGGAATACCTTTTTTGATTGAAAAATTTCTCTTGTTAACTTATGTTCCTTGGGGTTCAAAACATCAACAAAGCACATTGAATAGTAGAGTGGCTGGGCCAAGTCCATTTCTCCAAGGACTATGCTCTTCCAAATCTGTATCCCCTAGATAGAAATAAAGTATAATACAAGATAATATTTTGCTATGAAGTACTTGAAGGTCTTAGATCTTTTAGATTTATCTTTTAGCATCTTAATTTCACATTAAGAAATTCAAAGAAACAAGTACAGTTATCGCCCATAAACTGAATCGTCAGCCTTTTCAACTAGATGATTTGATCATCATAGCAGTATTCTTGCATACCGTTTTAATAATAGAAGGGGATTTGCATGTAGAAAACATGCTTGAAAGGACCTTGCATGTCGTTGGGAATTGACATATGCTGTAGACTGGTACCTAATAACATTTTAGCAGCAAAAATGTGTACATGTACAGGGCCCACACCACCAGGGGGCTGGAGGGGCCATGACCCCCCACTATTTTGCAAAGCAAATAGTTTTAAAGCTGCAGCAAAAGGGAAAAGGACTTAGCCCCCTACTTTTGCTAGCCTTGCCCCCCCCCCCCACTTTCAAATTTGTGGTGTAGTCCCTGATATACATTGTTATAGTCTTTGATTAAAATAGTAAGTTTATCTTGGCAATTCTAAAATACTTCATTCATCAACTCCTAAAAAGTTCAAAGAACCTTAAGCACCCTTCCCGCATAGTATCAATGCCTAGATTTAGCAAAATGTTGTTTTCTTTCCAACACAAAAAAATTAATCAAAATTCTTATTTCAATAAAAAAATTCATTTGGATTTGAATAAACATTAACCTTTGAAAACAATAAACACCACTTGCTGTAAGATCCGTCGTGAGAAATATCTTCAACACAGGCAGTGTTGGTTGTTGTGTTCATCTTCAACTTCAATGTTGATACCAATGGTGTTATGCTTACCAAAATTGAGCCTACATAAAGGAGCAGCCATATTGACGGAGCTATTAACAACTGCATTGTACCCACAAACAAAATATCTTTTTCTATCTGGAAGCATTACCAAGATACCAAAAACGTATGTTCTTTTTCTTTTGCATCTTGTCAACTCCTTACACCTAGTTTTGCGTTGAGAATCAAAGCGATACTAGCTTCTTCTTATGCAGAAGGTGATCGTCTCTCCTCCATTATAATGTAGCCTCCTTCTCCCCGAAAAACGAAAACACAATTGAAGCGCCGAAGGCGCTTATTTTGTTTTGGCGTCCATTTTGAATAGTGCCAAAAAGGAACTTATAAATTTGGTAAAAGTAAGGAATGGTCCCGTTCACTATTCGTTTGAATATCGATTTACAATTTGGTGACCTCATACTGTACTTAAATTTGGGAATAAAAGCCGCCATTCCAAGTTCCAAGCGTCAACAGCCGCGGTGTTGCTGCGGAGTTTTCTCTAGAGCTCTGGGCAGAGCTCTGTCTCATCGAAATTTCACAAAATGATAAGTTATTTTTGTAACGTTTGTAACAATCATTTTTAGTCACTCCTAGTACTATTTGCTAAATCTATTTATATAAAGACGTGATTTAGTAACTCTTTCTTTTCTTGGTTTACAGAAACTGCTATGAAATATCTAGGCCTAACTCTATAGTGCCCCCTGGCCCCCTGAAAGTCAGGAGAGTTTTCGACAAGGGGATTCCATCTTCCACCCCCCTGCGCCCCCTAGAAATCATCACTGGTCTCAACAACTGGCTATTTTTGTTAGTTATAGTCAGGCCCCCTCCTTTCTCTGATGCCACCGTTCCACCACATACCTGGAAACAGGCGAACTATCTGTTTTTCTAGAACTCTTGATCGCATCGATAAACAGTCAATTTTCTGTTTTTAAAATTACTGTGTTTTGCAAGAAGGAAGATAAAATGTTTGGTCCTAAGGGCCAGGGACTCTTTTCTGTCGCACAGTCAAAAGCGGAGTCTGGACGAGTAGCCCTAGAAACTCTTTCTTTGCCACACCCTATAGTTCTACGGAAATGCCTATTTTGAGTAAACACCCTTTATAGAGACCCTATTTGAAGGGTGCTTTCCTTCATCATTTGTCAAATGATCAATCCACACTGGAGGTGATATAAAAAAATACTCCTAGGTCAACTCTTAGCGGAGCGTTGTAGTGTAATCGCACGAATCCGATATTCTTCACTCCGCTTTGAAACCTAGCATTTTCCTATTGTTTTCTGATTGGAAAAACAATTTGATTATTAGTAAACAATGACGATTTTGAGAAAACGAGAAAAAACCGTTCTTATATTTTCGTAGTTAGATTTCATTCCTTCCCAAGCGATTTCATTAAAGCGGCAATCAGATGAGTATGCTTAAAGCATCATGCTTTAACGTTATTCTCCGTCTCTCAATTTCCAGGTTTGCTTTTCGCTATTTTATACTGTTTACATTAAGAAAGAATTTATTACAGTACATAATCATGAAATAACTAAATCTGCTTGACTTGCGCAAATGATTGCAAGTGCGCACAGCATGGGGACCAGAAATGCAAACTGCAGAGAAATGCAGGCGTACGAGCAAGCGGATCGTCGTAGTGTAACTGCTACCCCAAATATCACTTTGGAGAAAATAACTCCGCTCTGCCACGCTCCGATAACAATGCGCTATAGTGAAACTCTAACTTAAGGGAGATTACAGTCGCAATAGAGCTAACCTGCTTTTCGTGTAGGCTGGGCAAGGAAGGAAACGATTGTATCGAACTAGCTCGCTGGTAAATTTAACATCTCTTTACCTATGCGGATTAGCTCTTATCGAGTCATCTAGTTATCTAGTCTCTGTTATCTTGCTACGCTTTGCTAGGAAAGAGAAATAAAAACTAATTTTTTTGAATAAACCAAGAATTTTTTTGCAAAATGCGTTAGAACTCTGCTTTGATGCGTGCGGGCGTGAGGAAGAACCGGAATGCACGTGTCCCACACAAAAAAGGTGAGACTTGGTAGGTCTTAATTTGATTGTGGAGATTCCTGTATGATCATACACTCTTGAATATGCAAAGAATATGCAAAGAGAAGTTGATTTTATTATTCAAAGCAGTGCCCTCTCTTTTTCGTGCAAGTCTGAAAGTGCATGGTTATTTAGATTCTCGGCCATCTTATCTTAGACTAGATCTCCAATAACCTGTCAGCCCGCTCTCCATGTAGTAGATAGTATCTTTAACAAAGAAATAGTTATATTAACCGGGGTCTCCCAAACAATTAATCTTGGATATGCAGGCCAACCCACTTATGAAATCAGACCCAAAACGATTCAGACGGCTGTTTCCCATAATCTGATCCCGGGAGAAGAAACACTTTCTGTGGGATAAAATTTAGTGTTAATTTTTAGATATTTCTCATTATTCTTGTGAACAACTGATTTTTGATTAGATGCCTTCATTTTTTCCAAGGCAGAGCCTATCTTTTAATGCGATTGCAGTAAAAGCCCGTTATCTTCCACCTTTTTGACTTTACAACTTGCGTATTTTATGCGTTCCAGATAAAATTTAGAGCTTGTTTGAAATTACCGACGTATTCTAGTTTTCCAGGGCCTGCATCTGGCAAGATATGTATGACAGGCAAGTTTGTATTCAGCCCTTTTACATTTAGCTGTCTTTTCTGCATAACAGAAGGTATTACTGTTTTTCACAATCATTAGATAGGCTGTTGATATTGATATACAAAAGGAGAAGCTCAAAAAATGAGCCTTGCTATACACCATAGCTAGCCTTCTGTCAGTTGCTGTTATTCCCAACGGAATGCTTCGTATAACTTGCATGCTTAATCTTGCTTAGTTATTAAAGCAGTGATTTGATATGTAATGGGGAACTGCTCGAAATTCATTAACCTTTGATGTTTACTCTAAGCTGAAAAAGACCAATGTGTGAATGAATCTTGGTAATAGCACACATTATTTTCTATCAACTTTCTAGTGTATATTGACTTATTACCATATTTTTTATAGCTGCTGAAAAACTGAACAGTCTGTGTAGCATTTTGTGTTTTTTTGCTCGCTTCCCTAGCATAGCTTACTGTCGTCAATTTGGCTTTAGCTGTCCATCCTTATCAATGTCATACACACTGATATAATTACTCTACTGTCTCCTTCAGCCATATTCTCTTAAAGACAGGTCCAAAGACTATCACTGTGTCATGTCAGTCTCCAGTTGTCACTTTTATCATCTATATTTTGGCTTATCAGGACCTCCTTTGACATGAGCAGCCCTTCCTTTTGAGAAGGAAAGGAATTTTAAGGATACCGAAGACGCATACCGGAAAAATTGATTTAGGAGTTCCTGCTTAAATTAGACGTTTGGAATATCAAAATTCAAATTTAATTATTGGAAAGACAATGTTAACCGTTACACGGACTTATTTCGTCGCAAAATTCCGGGGTGGTGTTGCGTTGGCTCTTCAGCTCGTTCTCATTTATGCACGGTGTCCTTTGCAAAGACTTGAGACATATCAACATGATAAAGCGGACTTTGTCGTCATTTGGAAAAATTTGAAACTCTTCATTGATATAAGTTTTTGATTTTTTAGGGAATGGAATTTTCTTGAATGCTTTAAAAAAGATCGTCATTGTTTTCTATTCTACACTTTGGTTCCATTCTTTTGGTGCCAAAAAATTTACTCACTGTTGGTCATGTGTGTCTCTAATTGTTTGATACTACATCGAATAACAAGGCAAAATACTAGTTGGCTGAACACTAGCCACTACCATCATAAAAAGAACTTCCTTCTCTTCTAGTAACTCTAGAAAGAAGCTCATGCTCTAGAGCTGGTCCTTGTAGTATACATATATATACAGCCTTTGTCTAAGTCAATAGTAATTTAGATTGTAATCAATAAAAGTTTGTGATTAAATTATAAACTGTAGCTTCCAAATAGAAACCCAGAATTCCCATTTGTGACGACAATTGTCTTCGAGCTTTGCTCAAAAATGGAATTAATCATTATCTCGCTTGCAAGGGATGTCCTCACTGATTTACTCACTAACCTAACGAATGTCATTTTCAATAAAGCAAGCGAATTGCATAGAGCGTTGTTTGCCTTTTTACCATTCTGCTATGCATGTCATCGATTTTATTTCAGTGGCAATGTCTTCTTACGGTGAATACTCTGCGTTTGCCTCATATGTTTAGATTTTCAATATTTCTTTTTAGCAATTTCGTTTCCATTTTGGTCATGTGCCACTATCTTCAAAGCCAAACTTTTCTGCGATTAGCATAGCCAACATTTAATAATAGTTTTAAAGGCAATACTGCTAAACACTTTCTTTCTACACATCGTTGTAATATGCTACCTCCAATCTCACAAGAAGACTCAAAGTCTTTCATTTAATTCCCCTTTCCTTTTCATGGTAACTTGGTGCAATTATTGCTTGAAAAAGTCTTGAAAGATTATTTGTGGATTGACATGATCTAGATTTGCTTGGGTTCTTTTTATTTACTTGGTAATATGGTAGGAATCAAAAGTTAATTACATTCCCAATTTTTTTGCATGTTCTTAATTGCCCGAATTTTCCTCTCATACATGTGTGCTCTTTATCTCCTAACATCACCGAATTTGAATCTGTGAAGCAATAAAATTCAAAAATATATTTTGGTTTTAGATTAATCGAGATCTTTGAGCGGGATGGAGAACAGAAATGAATGGTAAATATAACAAAACCTGAATGCTAAAGTGGACTACGCGATTTGCCACACTCGACGGAAAGAAGTAAAATTTGGCTTTTAATGTCCGGTTTGCCTCCATAGCCTGTGTTCCAGACTCCAAACCCTGAAGAAGTTGGTTTGTGGGTCTGAAGTTTGCTTGTTGGGGAGACGAACCAGCATTTGTCTTGAGGTTCACTGCATTTTCAAAGTTTGCATCATACGCACATGCGCAGTCAAAATAGATGACGTTATTTTTACATCGCATGTTGTGTTCTGTTGTATTCATGACATAGACTTTACATAGATTTGGATCTTTTGTTGTAGCGTCCGCAAAGTTAGGCAGTAGAAGAACAGAGGGAAGTCTATTCGTGAAATAAGCCAGTCTCGAATCAAAGAAGAAAACAATTTAGAGAAGTGTGTGTCATGAGAAGAAGGTGAATGAAACTCTGGTGCTTCGGTGCAACTATGATATATAATAGTTTTGATTTAATTCTGTGAAGCGCATTCAATGGACGATCTTAAAAAAA